TTGTCTAGGAGCTTGTTTTAAACCATACAAGTTTTTCTTCAACCTGCATACCAGGTTTTTCTTGCCTGTCTCTATGAAGCATTCTGGCTACCTCATATAGATTTCTTTCTCCAAATCACCGTGAAGGAAAGCTGTCTTTACATCTAACTGCTCAAGATGTAGATTTTCTGCAGCTACAATTTTCAACACCAGTCTGATTGTAGACACTTTCACGACTGGAGAGAAAATTTCATTGTAGTAAATACCTTCTTTTTGCTGAAAACCTTTGACAACCAATCTTGCTTTGTAGCGTTTTCTCTCATCGTGCTCTTCTTTGATCCTGTAAACCCACTTGTTATGGAACGCTTTCTTGTCTGGTGGTAATTCAACTAATTCCCACGTCTGATTTGACATAAGCGAGTCCATCTCATCTTTCATGGAAGACTCCCACTTGACTGGATCCTCTACCTGCATTGCTTCATCATAACACTCTGGTTCACCATTGTCAGTCAGCAACAAGTAGTGCAAAAAAATGAGAATACCGTTGGGTTGGTTTAGGAATTCTGGAGGAGCATCTCAGTTCTGGTATATCTTGAGAAGCTGGATTCTTGCCAAAATCGGCTTATGAGAAACTGGATTCGATTTATGGGTCATTTGAGAAGCCTTCTGAGAAGAAGAAAGGGTATATCTTGCCTCTTTCTAAGATGTTGAATGCGGATCTTGGTAGGATTATCAATTCTGATGAGGTGCAGTCTGTGGTGAAGCCGATCAAGAAGGAGATCAAGAGAGCACCATTGAAGAAGAATCCTCTCAAGAACTTGAATGCCATGTTGAAGCTGAACCCATACGCAAAGAGTGCTAAGAGCTAGGATGGCTCTTTTGGCCGAGGCACAACGTGTTAAGTCTAAGAAGGAGAAGCTTGACAAGAAGAGGAAACCTGTTTCTAAGGTATATCAATTCTTCTTTGATTTAGTATTGGTCGTAATTGGGTTTTGGAATGATGATAATTGCAATTTTCTATGCCTTAGGCTGAACTCTTATGGCACTTGTCATTTGAATTATATGTTCTTCTACTTGATATTTAATGTCTTTGGCTAGTTCGTTTCTATTCTATTGCTATTATTATGAGTAATTGAACCGAACTGCTTATTATTACTTTATAATTCGTTGCTTAATTGCTGTATATACATTGATGTAATTGATATTTCTATCATCTATACTTTGTTTCTTTTTACTACTTTTATGTAATATATATCGTGCATTTGGTGGTCATAATTTATTTGGTTGACTAGCGTACTTCTCCATGTTTTTCATTGATATCATTTTGCCAATGAATTGAAGATGGTAGAAGGCTCTGTATCTGCAATTTTGTTTTATTCGAGCCGGTTTGTTCAGTCATCTATTAGATGAGTGCTAAGAATTAATGATTTTATCTTATGTTGAGCTTCACACTGGAATGAAGTTGACTTAGAAGTGGCATCTCTTATGGTTTGCTCGAGTCTGTGGTACTAAAATTATGGTGACAATTATTTGCATCTTTATAAGATTTGAACTGTATGCTGCCTTCATCGTTCAGTTTTTACAATCTCACACTGGCCTGATTGCCATTTTAATCAATTTCTTATCTGGAACTCCATTTTATTCATCATCAACTTTGAGGAAAAATAGTATTATGATACTAGCCCACATTCATTTCTCTATCGGGTGGCTCCTATGTCTTTTTTTAGAACTTGCCTTCCATAAATGTTGATTTAGTTATTGACTGTTTTTTTTTCTTTCCATTTGTCATCTTCCTTGGATGTTGAAGGAGGAGGCTGCAGCAATCGTGTCAGCAGGCAAAGCATGGTATAAGACTATGATCTCAGACAGTGATTACACGGAGTTTGAGAATTTCTCCAAGTGGTTAGGGGTGTCGCAGTAATCTAGTTTTTTGCTTTAGAAATTTTGGCAATGACAATGTTTGCATCGGTGTTGACATTTTGTTTTGATTTTGTGCATGAGAATGGGTGGGAATGGCATGCTCCCGTGCATTGCTCTTCTTTTGGTGTATGACAGTGAAAAAAACTTTATATTATTGAGATGCTATCCATCTCAATCTAGTTATACACTGCTTCTTTAAAAAAGTTTTTTTTTCTTTTTAGTCCATCTCCCTCTACTGTTTTGGGGTAAAGGATTTTGGCGGCTATGTTGAAAAATATTTTCCCTATTTTAGTATTTCAACCCATATTTTAACCAAAACCTAACTCGATTCTCCTGAAACCAAACCTAAATTCGATTAAGAATTCTGAAATCTCTAAAGTAGATGGCTTTCCAACCAAATAACAAGAACAAGAAGCCCAGTGTTTTTCTTTCCTTGAAATGAGTTCAAAACGTTTTTACTGATTCAGTAAATGATTAGCAAAACATTTCTAATTTTAATATTAAGCTTTTAATACAAAGTGGAATCAACTTTAATTTAAATGATCAGATAAATAAATTTTGATTATCTCACTATAAATACTTGTAATATTTAATTTAAGGGTAAACTACATCATTTTTGTTTGAGTTTTATAAACTCATGGTTATTTGATTAAAAAATATATAAGTTTTGGTCACTTACGTTATCGTTTTATTAAGATTTGGTCATTAATACGTTAGTTAGTGTGAGTTTGATGATGTTACACGTTAATAAAAAAGTTTAATTTTTATTTTAGCCCTTGAACTTTAGATAAATTATTAATCATTAGTCTTTTTGAATAAAAAAATAGTTTAAGGATAAAATTTTAATTATCCCTTTTTACACCTATTCACGTATCTTCTTTACAGCCGTCCCCCTCCTGCATTCTTTTCCTGCTTCCCACCATCTATGCTTTCCACTGAAGGAATCTGAGAAGGAACCCATGGAACAACAGCTAAACACCCTTCGTTTTCCTTCTTGTCCTCTACGGTTTCGACTGATTTCATGTCGATTGCCCGTAAGAATTGGTCTACAAACAAATTTTCATACCCCAACATCAGAACCAGGAAAAATACTGCAAACATATATGAATTGGAAAAATAAAATGATGAGAAAACGTACTCTTGAAGTCTGAGATGAAGTCGAAATGGAGGGAGAAGATAGGGTTAGATGGAGAAGAACACAAGGGAGGTGTGTTACAATGATGAAGTGGGTTTGAGTTAAAGAGAATGATGGCTCTTTTGTGATTCTCAGGGAAGGAGTCTTCTTCGATTATGGGCCTCAAATAAGCATCAAGACGACAAATCTTGGTAGCCGGCAACGAAAGTGAGAAATCAGAGAAGTCGTTGTTAACTTGGTCGTTTCTTTTCCTTAAACTTCCCGATCAAACTCATTTCTTTTTTCCTTTCCCCTCTCATTTTCAAGGAATCATTCAAAGAACATTGTTTTTTGTTCTTTTCTGTTTTATGAGCATTTCAAAGAACATTGATTTTGTGGAGAAATTGGCGGGTATTATATATTTGAGAGAATTTAAACGAGGGATGAAGAAATTTCTAACATTGGATGAAGCTATGGTTTTTGGCATAAGAAAGAGTGCAGGAAGGGAAGACTGTAAAGAAGATGGAGTTGTGGGGGTGTAGAACGAGATAATTAAAATTTTATCCCTAAAGTATTTTTTATTTACAAAAAGACCCGTAATTAGTAATTTATCTCAAGTTCAATGGTTAAAATAAAAATTAAACATTTTACTAACGTATCACGTCATCAAATTCACGGCAACTAACGTTTTAGTGACCAAATCTTAATAAAACGATAACGTAAGTGACTAAAACTTATATTTTTTTAATCTACTGACCTTAGGTTTAAAAATCTCAAACGAAAGTGATTAAATCTATTTACCCTTAATTTAACTTAATTGTTCAATGAAAAAATATTGATGATTATATAAAAATATAAATTAGATATTAATATAAAAAATAATTATATGTAATAAATTAATACACATTAAACTAAAAATAATAAAAATATTTTAAAAAATATGTCGCGTCTTAATAATTTATATACCAAATCGTATAATTTGATATTTTCCTTTTGTTCTTTTTTTTAATTATTATAATTATTTATTGTATAATCTAGGCCAATTCAGATTAATTAAGGCAAAGTTTTGGGAACCAGAATACCAACTAAAAAAAATTATTGAACGTTCATAATCGAACACTAACAACTGCAAGGATGATTGAACGTTCATTGTCAATTGATACTATTTTCTAATCGATCAATTTGTTTAGTATAATTATTGTAATTTTTTTAGCATAATTATTTGTTTTTTCTTATTATCCATTTTTTATAATCGATCAATGATAATTATCATTAATAAAAGAGACTAATTAATTTTTCATAATAATCCAATTGTATATACGAATATTTTTTATTTTATAATAATATTAATTATCATCTAAAATAACAAAAACTCAAATTCTTTATTAAATTAGTACAATGTTAATTCATGTCAATAACACTTTGATCGATAATAAATAGAGATAAATTTTTATCATAAAATAAAAAATATTATCATAATAATTATTTAAAATGATTATTTTTTAAATTTAATCTATTAATCTATGGCACTAACTAATTTTAAGATAGAAGGTAAAAAGATATAAACAAAAACGAACGGTGTTGATAAATCTCAGTCTCTCATCTGAGTCGTCTCCTCTTACCACTCTTCTCCAGCGTCCGATCCCCTCTCTTTCTTCCTCGTAATCCAATCTCCGTCTCTCCCGCCCTTTTCATTTTATATTCCCACTAAGGTTAATTTCCCTTTTATCTCCCATTAATAAAGAGACTAATTAATTTCATAATCCAATTGTATACGAATATTTTATATAATAATATTTATTATCATCTAAAATAACAAAAACTGCAAATCTTTATTAAATTAGTACAATGTTAATTCTGTCAATAACCTTTGATCGATATAAATAGAGATAATTTTTATCATAAAATAAAAAAATTATCATAATAATTATTAAAATGATTATTTTTTAAATTTAATCTATTAATATGGCACTACTAATTTAAGATAGAAGGTAAAAAGATAAACCAAAACGAACGGTGTTGATAAATCTCAGTCTCTCATCTGAGTCGTCTCCTCTTACCCACTCTTCTCCAGCGTCCGATCCCCTCTCTTTCTTCCTCGTAATCCAATCTCCGTCTCTCCCGCCCTTTTCATTTTATATTCCCACTAAGGTTAATTTCCCTTTTATCTCCTTTTTTATGACATTCGATTTTGAATTAAAATTGATTTAGTTATCTATTATGAATTTCGTGGATTTGCTGCAGCTAGGGTTTCCGCTATGGCGGAGGCACAGACCAGTTCCGTCGGAGGAAGTCAGGATAGCGGCGAGCAAAGTCCGAAGTCCAATGTGCGAGAACAGGATAGGTATCTTCCCATCGCTAACATCAGCCGTATCATGAAGAAGGCTCTTCCTGCCAACGGCAAGATCGCTAAAGATGCTAAAGAGATGGTGCAAGAGTGCGTCTCTGAGTTCATCAGCTTCATCACTAGCGAGTATGATTCTCACGTCTATTATTCTTCTTTCTTTCAATTATGGATTAGTTTAGATTTCTATTTTTTTGAACCAAATTATGGAAGAAATTTAGATTTCTATTTTTCGAAACAAATTGTGGATTATTTATATTTCTATTACGGTCTTGTTAATTGTTTTAGTTGATTTATTAACTCTTTCATAAGAAATTGGTCAAAATGTACCTCCGTCCTTGATGAAATTCGAGATGTAGTCCTTGTGCAACTTATTTTTTATTTAATAATTCTAGTTCAATCATGGATAGGTTAGTATTTTTCATCGAAGGCATCAATACACTTGTGTAATGATAGTTACCTCAGAATGAATCATTATAGAAAGATAAATTTTGACCGAAAATACTAAATGCGTCAACAATTAGACTATAATTTTAAATTTGAAAAGGTATGGAGACAAAATTTCAAATTTTATCAAAGTGCATATTTTGATCCAAGAAATCTAGTGTCACATGAAGATTGATCATGAATGAATGTGCAGAGCTAGTGACAAGTGTCAAAAGGAGAAAAGGAAAACAATTAATGGGGATGATCTGCTGTGGGCTATGGCAGCTTTAGGGTTTGAAGATTACATCGATCCACTTAAGGTTTACCTTACCAGATACAGAGAGGTGGATTATTTCAAAACTGTTATTTGTTAACTCATTCATTTTTCTTCCTTATGATTCGTTGGTTGCTAGCAAAAGGATGGAAAAAAAGTAGTTATTTTGGATCTTAAATTTTGTGAGGCTTTCATCTAACCTAAATTAAAAGGGTTAACTTATTATCCTACATGTTGGTTGGTGGAAGAGTCCAATAACTTAACAAACAACTACTTGTATACTTAAGTAGTTGTGTTAACCGAGTAAATTATTAGCCTTTTCCTTATATGTAGTTTAATGGACATGTAACAAACTAACAATCACATGCATAATACATCTGCAACCAAAGGTTACTGATTTTTAATACTTTGAGTTGGTTTCTATTATCTGCTATAATGGATTACTTTTCAAGTTGTACTAAACTGTTCGATTTTTTTCCGCCGGTGGTTTTTATGGTCAATTGGGTCATTTGCAGATGGAGGTGAGTTTATACCATCCTCTTCAAATCATGTTGCTAGTTGAATATTTTATGGATTTATATTTGATGCACAGAAACAGTAAAAGTTCATACACTATTAACAAACTAGATGGTGACACATTATAAAAATATTTTAAAAACAAATCCACTTCATTTTTTAATGATGTGCATCATCTAGTTTACTGACAATGTAGATTTATACAATGTAAATGCATCAAATGTTAACCCATATTTTATTGCCTCACACTTGTCTCCTCCAAGCTACCTCTCTGATATGGCTTTGACCTTGCAAACTATGTTGTTTGACAGGGTGATAGCAAGGGATCGGCTAAGAAAGATGCCCAACCTAACCCAAATGACCAGGTAGAATATAAGTTTTTTGTTACTCTTATATTGATTTTAGTTTTAGTCATCATGCATTGCACTTTTTGTGTGCCTTTTTTTAACTTTAAATAGAGTCAGTTCATGCCTACAGAAAGAACGCCATCTTTTTCTCTAATCTTTCTGGTAATTAATCTGGCAGTTTGCTCATCAAGGTTCATTCTCACAGGGCGTTAATCATGGAAATTCTCAAGTAATCTCTCCCCTCTCTCTCTCTCTCTCTCTGCATCATGGAATATTTCATGCATTAACACACTACTGTGTCCTTGCATATTTCTGTGTCTTTGTAAGTTTCTTCAATCCATTAAGGTTACACCGCCTCTTTTCTTTGGTTCTAGTATTTCATATGGCAACTTATGGCGGTGAACAATCATAACTTAGCCTTTCAATGTTCAAGTGGAAGTATCTTTAATTAATTAAATCCTTGTCCCAAATCCCTGTTTAAATAACAATAAATAATGAGTTTATCTATCTTGGCAATTAAACATTGATGTGAAGGATATGTCTTTTACTGTAATTGTTATTGTCAAATCTTACTTGAAAAATAACCATGCTATTGTGGTGATAGTCACTGTGAGAATAAAGCTAGTAGCAATAACTGGTTACTATTTGGGCACTCTGGTTATTGGCCTATCACATTCCTTAAAGGAAATGGAGCTTAAGCTTGTCATGATACCTTATATGATACAATTATTTTTTACTTTTTCCAATCAATTATACAAAGCCAAGCATTTGGACGTCAAAAATTAAAATCCATCTCTTTTTAAAAAAAACAAATAAATTGTTTCATCCCTCTTATGAATTCTTATGTATTAGGCATATTTTGCATTATGCATGTACTCGTAAGGCTATCTCTAATAGCTGGGGCTGTTTCTTTTCCTCTCATAACGACTGACGGTGTCTAGACACATCATCTTTGATCATTTACATTCATACCATTAAAATATTAGGAGAGAAAAAAGATTTTTGTTTGGTTCTAATAACGTATGACTTTTGTTGTTGCAGGGCCATATGATGGTTCCGATGCAAGACAATGAATAGAGATCCACACTTCTCGAGCCAATTCCATTCAATGTCGTGTTCCAATGCTCTGCTGCAAATAGTATGAAGATAAAGCATCTAATGTGAAAACTGACATTTTGGATGGTTCGCATCCTCTTATCTGGTAAACTATTATTTTTTTAGTAATATGTTTGTTGTAATTATTGATTAGGTGTTCTTTAGAATGGATTAACATTCAAAGAATTGACTTAAATCTTGGGAGGTTATTTTAGATTTAAAGCTCCTCTTTGGGAGGACGTTGCTTAGGAAACTTCTTATGCTTCTTTTCATCCTACTTTGAAACGACTTTGGACAATGTAGAGGCAGATGGTTCAATTCTATTTATTTCATCGTTGACTGCTACTGTCAATTAGTTCTATTCTAGTATACTTTTTCTTCTCTTATACAGTGATTCGATTTGATGATTGTTTGATTCTTAGATGATTCCATTTTATTGGTAGATTAGTGTCCAGGTTTTTCCCCGTCACCTTTGAAATGAACAGATTGAAAAGGGTGGCATCCAACCTGGAAAGAGCCACATGCTTAAATCGGAGATTATTTACTCTTAAACCACATACATTAAAGTACTTGTTTTCAATAAATAGTAAGACTTTGTTTGGGAATGCTTCTTCAAACAAGCCTTTCCAACGCAAAAGGACCTTTTTTTCTAGCTTCTTGGTTTGACTCAATAACCTCGTTTGCAGCGTTAATTTTTGGTTGAAAATTATATGTTTGGGATTTTTTTTGCGTTTCAAACAGATTTTCGAGACAAATAGCACCTCCATAAGCATTCCCAAATGGTCCTTAAATGCTGAAAGTCATTGCATGGGGAAAAGATAACCGTTTGAAAGAGCAAATAAAGCAATAAAATGCTCAAAATCTGATTTTAATAACCAACAAAAGACTGTTTGTCTAAGCTTTTACTCTCAAATGGTTAAGAATCTTGAAAATAGATATTGTCTTGTAGTCACCCTAGATTAATAATAAAAAAACCAACAAAAGAAGATAAGAGACATCCTAAGTTATGGTCTAGGCTTCTCCTTCTACTCTTTGAAGAGGGCCAATAGAGATACACCCGAGACCTTCACAACCTTGAACCTAACCCCAGGAATATCACCCGAATCCCGCAATCAACACCTCACCCTACAGAAGCCAATATACTATCATCAAAAGAGTACCGGCAAGCCGATATACATGCTTAAAACAATTAAGATGATACAATTTCAAGTACTACTCGCATTCTCTTCAATGTAGTTTAAGCAACCATCATTCGGGACAAAAGCAGCAATCTTCTTCCCGTTCTTGATCAATTGAACTCTAGCACACTTTCTGATAGCAGAGTTCGGCTGCTTGGCCTCTATACCTCTGGATGTTAGAAAACCATTAGTTCAAGTATTGAATTAGAGTTCAATGAAAAAAACACCAAAATGAAAAGTAAAAGGTCTCCCTACATCTTCTCAAGGACAATGCCATTGGCATGAGAAGAGCCAGCAAATGGCTTCTTCCATTCATTTCCGAGGTTGGACTTTTTGTATGCCTTATCGGACCATCGCTGCCTCCTGCGATGGGTCCTCAGCCTGCGTCCGGCTCCCATACCACTTGTCTTCCTGGAAGAAATACCCTTACTCTCATAAATTAATAACCTCAGACCATAAAAATCTAGCTCTGAAAGCTTTAGTAATCACTTTAGGTGAAAGCCAACATATTGTAATCTCAAACAAGCATTTTTCAAGTTCCATTCATCTGGAATTCTCCTATATCTTAAATATCTGAATACAAGCAATATTTTTCTGGCCTTCAATGAGCTACTATCATTTTCATACACGAAATCATAAACCAAAATCCATATTCTAACTCATTACTTAAATCTTAGAGCTAAAACAGCAATCAAAACTAAAATGGAAAAAGAAACACACACAACACAAAATCTAAAATCATAAGCAGGAGAAATGCACTCAAAACTGCAATAATTCTCCTTTTTCCCCATCTTATTCAAAGAATAGAATTAAAAAAAATATTTAAAGACCCAATTACCCCCATAAGAACATCAACACTTATCGAACGAAATAAAAAATAGAAAGCCATTCGATTCATTCAACTAGCTGGAACTGAAAACAATTGAACATACCCCATGTTGGGTGAGAGAGTGCTTCGACTGGAACTAGGGTTTTGAGAGTATGAAGGCTACGACGAAGAACCAGCAGCCGATGAGTTTAAACACTGTAGGCACTAACCTCTAGTGTATTTAGGGGCTACCGTTCTCGGTTCCTTGGGCTGAATTTTACTACTAGTATTGTATTTTTTGCAAAATTATCAAACTAAATATTAAAATATTTGGGAAAAAACTAATATATTAAAATCTTTGAAATTAAGGGTCAATTATTATATTGAGTATCTATGTAACTATGTTATTCGGATTTGAATGCAAGTGTTTAGTGTGTTTGTAAGTGCTTAATGTATTTATATATATAAAAGATTCATAAAGATCATATTCATATAGACACAAATATTTTCTTTAAAAATTCAAAATTACATAATTTAGCACAAATAATAAGTTAAAATAAAATCTTAATCAAGGTGTTTAACAAACTGAAAATAAAAAATAAAAAATTAATAACTAAAATTAAGTTATAGAATATATTTGATAGGTTACCTGAAATTAAGTATTGAATAGAATAAATCATTACACAAATATAAATTTTAAATATAATATAATCTTAAAAATATTAAATTTAATAGATTGAATGTATTCAACATTAAGTGACAACTAAATCTTTTATTTATTAATAATATTTACACTTTTAATTGAAAATAAAATTCTCTAAAATAATTTTCATTTTATAACATCAAACATTTAAAAATAAAATCACAAAATATTATTTTTCAGTCTATTGAATTGTTCAACAAATTATCAAATAAGATCTATTTTTAAAGGGAATAGCAAAATACATGATAATTTAAGGAATGATTTTATTATTGAACACTAAATGTAGCATACATCCATCACAAGAAAGAAAGAAAGAAAAAATCTCATAAATATGAAAGAAGAAAAGAAATTAAAATGTGCAAATAAAAAATGCCAAAATAAAAATAATAAGACAATGAACTTAAAGATTCAGAATCGAAAGTTTATAATTCCTCTTTGCTGCATGATTTGATCCTTGGGATTCCCATAGCCCTATAGTCTTTGCTTTCCTTCACATCCTTTTGATTCAGATATTAACTAATTGCCATCTCCATTCACCACAGCAACTTCTGTGTTAGTATTACTACTGCTGTCGACTTTCGGAGGAGCAGATAGCCGCCTTGCCCTGGCAGGTGATGGTGGATAAGAAAGTCGTTTCATGGTAGGCACGATTGGTCCTTTCTCAGGTGGTGTTCCATTCGCTTCGAGTCCCAACGGACTTTGCAACCTGGTCTTAGCTCTTGCGGACAGAGTTGGTACCATGTAACTCGGAAATGATGGGGAGCCAACTAGGCCCTCACCGTCTCGTACAAATGAGCCTTCAATGCTGTGTCTCCGGTTTTTTTCGGACTGCACGCTCACCATGCTTCTTGTGTCATCGTCTGGACCAACCGCACTGCTCCTAGGGCTTGCTGACTTAAGTTTTCGGGAAGGCGTGGAATGTGGCTTGGGAGTAGAAGGGGATTGCAGACTCGATTTTTGGCTGGCCTTTGGGGATTGCTTATCCAAATTGAGTTGGTAACGAGCATAAGCTTTGCTGATTTCTCCTCCGAAGCTGCTGCGTCCACTCTTCACCGATGACTGGTCGTTGTTCGGTTCTTTTTCCACCGTGCCACGGCCATCCCATGGCCGAGCTGCCATCCAACGTTCCAACCAGCTCCAACCCCAGGATGGATTATTCGGATCCATGAACAGCGGATTCATGGATTTCGAAGCATTCTTCCAGGTTTGCTGTTAAACACAGAACTTTGTTTACTTTTCAAATACTTGAATGCCAAAAAGGACTATATCCAGCGATACTCCCACCTTAAAGGAGACTCATGTTTAAGCATTATGATAAGCTACTAACACGGGAAAGGGTTTCCTTCGGACTTCGAGAACACAATATTCGGACTTTATCTCACTACCCTTTGAAGAGATCATGGAACTAATGATGTCGGATTATTGTGTTTCGATCTAAAACTCATTCAACCAATTAGTGTTTTTACTCTCATCACCAATCCATGGGAAACGTTTTTTGAAAGTAATGTAGTTATGCCTAATTCATTCATGTAAGTAACGGTGTTGTTGACTCTCTAACTCGGAAACCAGAACTATAAACACACAGCCAAGAAGATTAAGCATCTGATTATCATATGTACCGAGTGCATTATATAAAATTAGAGGACAAGGTCACCTGATGCGTAAACGAATATGCCATGGCCTTTTCTCGTCTCATCGCAGCCTCGTGCCTGCTCAATAAGCTTGCCTCAATTTGTTCCTTTGACTGCAGGCTGTCATCCCAGTCCTCCCCCATCTGTTGAAACATTCATAACCAATGGTCAGTGGGAAGTAAACTTGTATATATATAGGCGAACCAAGTTCGGAGAATATTCGAACCCGATTTGCCTTCAAACTTCTACATCAAATATGCTAACTTTGCCATTAAATCAAGCAAGTGAATCTGTTTTACCTGCAAGTTTACAATATCTTTTGCATGCTTCTGTAAGAGTTGCCTTTGAAGAGCCTGATTTTCTTCTGTCATCCGGATTCTTCTCATTCGAATCTGACACTGCACGCGGGAGAGAGTTTGCATACACCGAAGGGTAGCGGCTGCTTGCCGTTTAACAACAGGCCCTTCCAACATTGATTTCAGCCGGACCAGTCCTCGTAAAGCACGCAACGCCCTTTTTGCCTGAAAAAGAAGAAATCAGCATCAGTCGAAATCGGACACATAAGTTCCATTAATGGCTGAAAAACCCCAATTGAGGTGGATCAGTTGCGTGTTTCAAACATGAAAAGATCACTTAATTTGACCCTGGAGTCCCATTTTAATGACAGTCACTTCAACATTGATAAGAAATGTACGCATTCTTCTTCTAGAATGAATTCACAATAAGTTCAAGCCATTATCAAGAAGTTTCATAAAGATATATATTTCAACACATACAAGGTAACCTCGGAAAGCGGTTTGAATTTTGATAGCTGCAACTTCCTCATTAGATTTTCCAGCAAACATAGCACCTGTATCGAGTTGACGACTAACGACATTTGCAACTGCCTGAGCTGGAGCAGCCGCCGCAGGGGAGACTGCCACAGGGTAAGGTTGCTCGCTCAGTTCTGCCTTGGCTTCGATCACTTTCACCTCTTCAGGCTGAGGGGGGGACAACTTCACAGTTTCTAAAGCGGCTGCATTGGAATCACTAGGACCGAAATCCAACCGTTTCTCCAAAAGCTGTTCTTTGGATTCTGGAAAAGAAAAAGAGCATAACAATAAAGAACATTAAAAAAAACACTTACTAGGGACTAATAAAAAACGGTTCTTTGGAGTGTTTTTTTTTCAGACCTGAGTTTTCTTCTCCTTGGTTTCTGGGCTAAAGGCCTTCTTTAGAGAAGACAACCATTTTCCTTTCTTCCCCATCTTGTCTTTTCTTTAGTGTAATAATCCAATTTCTCACTGCAAAATAGTAGGGTTTTAGAAATGAACTATCTCATTTTCCAATCAATATATTCAAAGAGGCAAAACGGAAAATAGCTCATAAATGGTAGCATTAATAACAGATCTACCATAAATCATAAAGGGAAAACCAAATACTCATTACTGCAAATTAGGAAGGAAAATAAAGAAAAAAATCTAAAAAATGAGAAAATTCAACAATTCCTTACAAATTGGGAAACAGCCCAGATTTTGGAAGACAAGCAGCAATATCAAAGGCAGAAAATCAAAGAAAAAGAGCTTAAAAGAATGCAACTTTGAATTGGGGTCCATGAAAAAAAACAGGAAGCATAAAAGTACCCGGGGTTATAATAATGCCCAGATCTCAAAGAGCCTGAAGGGTCATTTTTCCTTTGTTTTATCTTCACAAGACAAACAGAAAACAAAGGATGAGAAGCTTGAAAGGGTCAATAATTTGTTGAGCAGCTGCCTATTGGTGATATGGACTTTTGGAAGGGAAGATAAAGAGGAACAGATCTTGACAATAAAGCTCTTAGGGAATATGAAGCAGAAACAGCTGGTTTCTCTTGCTAGCGTGACCCCACTTGTTTGCTCTTTTCTCGTTGATTGGTCGGGGAAAAAATCTATCATCTACCTTGTGTGTTTTGCCCCCAAAATTTTGGTAACTAAAACAGTTGGGAAAAAATTAAAAGCATCTTCTTCTTTTTTCTGTCGTTTTCGAGTTTGTAATGATAGCATTTCAAAGTTTCAGTTTGTATCAGTGAAAACTGAACACGCAACCTTAAAATTTCTAGTGTCAGACCGTAAAATATGATTTTTTTTCTCGAGTTGAGTTTAGGCTCAGGTAGTCGGCTTTAGCAAATGAGTGTAGGTTAAAAATATTTTATTCAATTCAAATAGCTTATGAATCTAATCTAAATTCTTTTAATTACAATATTTCTTTTCTATCCAAAATTCATTAGCTCAAATCTATTTATAGATACAAAAATAGAAAATTTGATTAAAATAATTTCGTATTTAAATCGATTTTTTTTAACTGGATTCAAATTTAAAGGGTTTGAGTTACTTAGTGAATTAAGATTTAATATTTTAACTTGATTCAGATAATATTGTGAATCTTATCAAGTTTATTTCAATTATAAAATTAGGTTAGAATTTAACCTCAACTTTAAATATGTAAATCTCATAAAAATTTACGTAAACTTCTAATAATTTTATTTTATTTTGAACTTAATTTGAATTTAAATAATAACACTTTAATCAAATTACAATCGAACTTCAATTAGTAATTTTTTCAATTGAATTTAATTTTTTTTATGTTTAAACTCAACTTAACCCAATTACAACGATTCAAAAGATGCATTTTATCGAAATTAATGTGTTTTTTAAAGTAATGTTATCCAAAATATTTCCAAAGGTCAAATTATATAAATTAGGATAATTTTATGGTATGCGAAATTCATGAACTCGGACCAATACAAAAGTAGTCATTTAGGGCAAATTATCGGCAGACACCGACACAAGTTTTAACTTAATTTTAAAAAAGAAAAATAAATAAACAAGAGGAAGCAGACCTCGACGACAACTAGATAAATGTCCTACTCCTACCTGTGATTGATTCTA